CTTTGCACAAAGCCACACTGCTTACTGTACAGCCAGACAGGCAAGCGGAATGCATAGTGCTCTCCTCTTAAAGTAAGGATGCTGGGAATGGGCTCAGCAGCTTCAGGTGCTAAGCAGATCGGTGTATCTCTAAAACCCTAACCCAGACACTGAACACAAAGCCCATGGCTTCCCTCTAACTCCAAGAAAAGTGCTCCTACTACAGCAAAGAAGTCACAAACACACAAAAGCTAGAAAACAGAGCGTGGACACGATACAACCCTAACTCTGCCCTGAAGTAGAAATGGGAACATCCCCACACCTTGCCTCTTCATACCAAAGCCAGGCCTTTCTTGTGGCAATTCCTTGGCTGTTGAGGTAAGTGTTCCTGCATCAGGCAACCAGGCTAGCCAAGATATTTCATCCCATTCACTTTTAATGCTAGTTGGGGCCTTCTGAACAAGAGGGAAAATTGCCTGGATCTTTCCAAGACACCTAGGTGCAGACACGAGCACGAGCATGGCGCTTCAGCTGATCAAAAGACAGCTTTGTATGCACAAAAGGAGCTGCTCTCTTAGGGGCACTGAACAAGGACGTGCATGGTAACTGGGTCAGAAGAACAGGTCACAACCAGCATACAAAAGCAGGCTGGCTTTGCAAGCGGACAGGGTCAAATGCCCCTGTGCTGTGGGAGGTGGGAACATCACTTGCTGCTGTAGGTCTGTTAGCTGAGGTCTGTGTGGAATTCGGGCTCTGAAATAAAGCTGATTGAGGCATCCACAGCCACGGCCAAGCTTTCGCACGGTGCTCTCACAAAACAATCTGAGCAGGGAAAAAAGACCATGTGCCACATGCTCTGAGCTGCAGCATCTCTCTGCCTTTGCTATCACGAATATGGGTGGCTTTATGCAATGTGCTTTATTCCACCAGAGAGCTACTGAGCCTGCTCTTGCCCAGCGTGGCTGCAGTCCGCTCCTACAGCGCTGCTCAGCGGGCAGCTCACCCGCTGAACCAACATGTTGCTCCAGCACTCTCGGGCTCCCGGCTTGCTCCCCAGCAGCACGGTGTCACAGTGCATCAGGTACTTATCTCTCACTGCAGATCCCCCCAAAATCTGTCCGCAGTCTGATTCAGGGTGGTTTACTCCTAAAACAGAAAAAGCCTTTCCCACTATTTCCTCTGCTGCTTCCACCTCCTTCTGCCTGCATTGCACAGCTATGTCTTTGCTCACTGTATGGAGGACTTCTTTACAGCACACAAGCCCTTTCATTTTTACCATGATCAGAACAAGTCAGTGCACCTTTGCTGTTTCACAGTCTCTTTTGAACTGGGGTGAGCTGAACTTTCTAGGCAAAGATTTGACCTCTCCTGAAATCCCCTGATCAGCAATTTCCCTTGCTCACTCTTTCGTGTTTGAAGCATTATGAAACACTGGAAACTACACATTTTTTCATACGGAAGTTAGTGAGAAAATTCAAATAATCAACTCAGTCCCAGGAGACTTGGGGTCTCTTTCCAAGTTTGAAAGCTCTTTCCTCACAGAAGTTTTGCTCTTGAAAGTCTTCTGGTTAGCAGGCAGCTGATGATATGGCTTCTCTGGAGCCTGATTATACTTCCTGCCCAGGGGCAAGTAATAAAAAAGCCTGCCTGGCTCTGTGAGGTCTGAATCAGGTGCTAACACTGAACATCTGCTGGGGCCTCTGCCCTCCATTCCCCCACCCTCCTTCCCTGTGTTGGGCACTGGAGCGCTCTCACATTTTATAGCTTGTGGCAATGAAAGGCCAATTTAAGAGGGAAAGCATTACTGACAGCGTTATCCAAAAAGCCCTGATTCTGCTTTAACTGCTTTCCATACGGGACTTTGGCGAGTCCACCACTGCTGGGACATGATGAAAAGACCTGCATTGTATGGCAGCCTTTGGAAACAGTTACCAGCAAACATTCACAGCCCAACCCAAACGAGACAAACAGACTCTACATGTACATTTATTACTTCATACAACTAGATTGCTTGCTGTACAAAAATTAACAGTGCCACCCAAGAGGGTCTTCACAGATGTTCAGAGACAGACACTTAAACACAACTTTAAAACATGGGGTTTATGTAATTTAGGTACACACTACAGAAGAACCACACATTGTGTGCGCATATATACACATACACATGCATGTGTTTGCATCTCCATACACATACACAGACAGAACAGATTGTCACAGCAGGCTGTGATATGCTTGTACACTGCTCTTTGAGGAATCCAACATCCCTACACAAGGGTTTCACCAGTGGGAAACAAACTGGACTTACACTGAGCTATAAGCCCATCCCTAGGGTCTTAAGTTGCTGCCACTGTTGGCCTGGACTTCCTTCCCTTGCTGCACCCTGCTGCTGGCTCCCCTCTTGAGTTTATAACCCAATCTCCAATCCCATCTGGGTCAGTGCACCAGTGTCACTTGGTAAAGATGTAAGAGCCAGGTCCCTGCACTGGAAAGTCTCGGCAGGGAAGGGACGGTCTCTGTATTCCGGGGTACCTGATCTAGCAGGGCCCAAGTCACGGTGTAATGCTCAGGCACAACCATTGTACATCTAAACATCAACAGCCTTGAAACTCTACCTTTCCTGTTCTGCAGCAGTAAAGGATGAATGGACCTGTACAGGAAAAGCATATTTGGATAGAAATCATGACCTTTAGAGAAAAAGACTGCAGCACCTGAATGATTGCTACTAGAGGGAATGCCTGTTATAGTGAATTTTGCTTAACATCCAAGAGGGGAGTTTAACGCCTTAAGGTAGAAGGTTCATCAAAGAGCTGAGGAACTACATCATTGCTAAATGCTGTGCTTTCATCAGCAGGAAGGGCACTGCTGCTTGCAGCATGAGACTGAGAAAACTGGTATTTGGACCTCTCTAAGAAGCAACTGCTGGATCCCAGCGCTGCTCCTGGGCTGCAGAAGAAGGCAAGTTCTTGGCATTCATGTCTATTCCCTTCTAAATCTTGCTTGTGTAGAGTAAGCACCTCAGGCAGCAGTGGCCTCCCTAGTGTTAGACCCTGAAGAGCTATTCTGGTGTTGGCCACAAAAGATTCACATAGCTTTACTATTTCTACTGCAGTAAAACAAACAATCAAACACAGAGTAACAGCTGCAGCCTCCAGCTTTCATAAGGAAGAAATGTCAGGCTGTAGCAATGTTTTCAAAGCTTTTCTCTATAGAGGTCCAGTCATTCCCTGGGAGGAAGAGACTAGCCTTGGTAGGAATTTATCCAAAAACTATGGAGTCAACATGGCTTCTGCTCGCTCATCTTCCAGTGCAGAGAGAACTGATCCTTTTGGTTCGACAGACACAGGTAATGTGAATCCCAAGGGCTCTGCTGTGCATTTAGTGCAAACTGGTTAGGAAAGAAGCTTTTATTCTCCCTGTCGGTGACAACAAAAAAGCTGGTGTCCTTTCTGCACTAACCTCCCTGTCCAGGAGTGTAACAGGGCTTAACACCATGCAGCAGAGACACTCTATCCTTGGAAAGACGTTAACAGTAGATGTGTCCCAACCTCTGGGGCCCCAGAAGGTATTCTTCTGGAATGCCACATAGAAACACGCTTCTAAAGCCCTGACTGAGTTTCTTGACTGACAGAATCTCCATGCTGTTTCTCCATGCAAACTGGGGCAGCCCTTTATAAAGACAGGATCGGAGATGTGGTATTCACGTAAAAAGAAAGAAAAAGGAGCATTGAGAGACAAAGCAGCAATGGTAAACAGCTTCCAAAGTCGCCCGTGTAATTAGATAGATGCTGCAGAGCTGTCATGCATGTACCCTGATAGTCCTTGTTACTGAACAGTAAACACGTTTTAGCAGCATTTGCCTTAGTGGTTCACATGTCATGGCCTAAGAGATGAGTGCGCTGAATTACTGGCATTATTTGGAACTTCCCAAGAACTAGCAACAAGGAGAAAATAAGGATATACTCCCACCATACAAGAGGAGGTGTTCTCTCACTCCAGTTTGCCACATCTGGCTATGCCACTAGGAGTCTCAGCAGAGAGCCAAAGGGCAGAGTACCTACCAAAGTGCACAGCAACCCAAATCCACCAAGATACTTCAGGTCTAGCTTGCAAAATCACCAAAAAAAAAAATAATAATGGAGCACTTGCATATCCCTCTGTAAATCTGACCTCTCCTTCTCATTCCTATCACAAGAAACCTTCATATGTGAGACTTGCAGCCCAAGTCTGTGAAAAGCTCATATAGACAAGCATGACAGTTACACTCTAGAATTTCTCATGCTAGTTTATAACCCAACCCTTCTCATCCCTGCATTTGTACAAGGGAAAGAAGAAACAGGTAAGAACACAAATGAGATTGTACAGAGTATTTTCCCCTAAATCAATAACATTTATACATTTTTAAGAAATCTTCATTAAAAAATATTAAGCATTAACAGTTCTACAACATAAACAAACAAGTACAAATTCCATTGCCTACGAAAGAGTTCATGTCTCATCAGAAGTGGTAGTCCACAACTAAATGTTTTAAAGACAGCCTTGATATTAGTGTCTTTGCTGTATTAAACCCTTGGTACTTAAATAGTTACAATATCCAGACAGCACGAAGGATGATACATAAGCATGAAAGTGCAAGACATAACTTTAGTCAAAGTGCCTACTGGTCAAACTGGTACAAACTATGTTCAGAGATCGAGGATAAACCAGACTGAGAGCAACTGAGACCCTTTTCCTCTCATTTCCATCAGAAGTTCTCACAGGTAACATCAATCCAGGCTGAAGTGACATCAGTTCCAAAGGGACATACATGAGAGGAGAGGCCAAGCCCATGTCTTGACGTAAAACTGATCCTCATTTTCTCTGCGTAATGCCAATTAATCCACAGGTTTTGCTCTGAATATCCGAGCAGAGAGAGAGAGAACAGTAACTTCGATGCCACATTCTATGGAGGCAAAGTCAGCAGCTTAACAGAAATGCAGCACTTAAGAGCAGGGGGTACAGCGAGCCCTTGTTAGCTCCTCTGGAGTCACATTCCCCAGCTGATTTATTGATTCCAGCCATAAAAGATGACTATGAGGAGGTTAAGTAACACTTCTCTTCATTGGAAAAATAAAAAGATTATCCTCACAAGTATAATTTTTCCCTTCCTGTTTGTATTATTTTACTATTTCAGAGATAAAAAAATCTTTTACAATATCAGCTCATTATTGTGTTCACTCCCTATAAAGGCAAATGAAGTTTAAAAGATCATGTCACCAGAAAGGGGTGGGATGGGGGCACAGGCAGACCTTTTATTAAACCCTTAAAGATTTCTAACTCATTTTGCAAGTGAAAACAACAAAACCCATAAAACTCTAGCGAAGGAGATCTGTCACTGAGATCAAGCAGATCCAAACTCCACCATCCATTTTTCATACTTCTCCAGGTCTGCAGCAGAAACAGATTTGGAGATTTTCTTCAAAGCCAACTCAAAGTCCCCGTTGGTAACTGGCATTTGAAGCTCCTCTTTAGAAAGCGCACGAATCTCTTCTGGAGTTAAGCCGTTAATACGTCGTCTCATTGCCATTAAAGAGGCATCCCTGGAAATACAGGATAACGTATGGGAGCTAATTGCTAGCAGCATGTGCTGTAAGCCTATGAATTTTGACTGTATTCTCTTGCTAGTAACCACTGGCAGGAACACTTAAGAGAGCATTTATTTACCCTAGAAGATGCAGTTCACATCTTTCTTGGCTTCCATGTTCCCAGATCATTACATTAATTCAACGTAAAGAATGCACTGGCACCAAAACCCATTTAAGCATATGGTAAATGTGCAGAGATAATTAAAACTATAAAACTGAAAACCTTTTACAGTGATTCATAGAGCTAAAATTTTGCAACTTCAGTGCAGGAAAGGGCAGGGTGGGAGCAGAACTGCACTCCAAGACTTTCAGACTTTTTGTTTGTTTTTTTCACAGTAGACTGGATTTTGCATCCCCATGCTCTTAAATTTCAACCCTGTCCTCACGATGTATCCCAAAAGTGGATAGCACGTGGATCTGCAAAGGGCAGAGCAGAAGGCATCAGATACGAGTGTCACGTGGGCCCACAGGGCTAAGGCCATCAGTGCCTGTGGCTCCTCATGCTCTACCTGCTCCGTGACTCCTCCCCAGCTCGGATGCTGCCAGCGTGGCCCACTGGCATGGAGAGCTCTGCTCATTTCTCACACCATGGCCCACATGCAGCCTGCAATTACATTTTCTCTTTCCCCAGGTTTTTCCCAGCGAGGGATAACACAGGCCTCAGGGAGAACAGGTAATTTAACTATCGCACTGTGTGACACACACCAAATTTTCAAAACCATGGAGTCATTTCACAATTTCCACAAAGCAGCAGGGGAAATAAAAAAACATCCCAAGCCACGTTCTTAAAGGATCAGTTTCTCTTGGCAGGGATCCTAACTTCATAAGGGACAGAGACTTCCTTACGGTAAGTTTTCTCAAATACCTGCTCTACACCAGAAAAGGCTCATTTGTCAAAAATTGAAACAATTTGTGGGAACAGAATAGAAATAAATTCAATACTAATGCTATGAACTATCTGTATCACCCTTTGCACCTAGAAGGTTCAGGCAGAAACCAAGACTGTGCTGCACTGGGGGCTGTCCTAACATATAGCATATAGAAGCCCCACAGAAATATTCTATGAAAGGTTCCTTTGCATCACAAAATTCTAGCTCTTAAATTCATGGGATTTAAAAGCAAACAAATAAACAAAAATCCAAACCTGCTCTGCACTACATTAACAAATGCAGTAAATGCAGCCAACAAGATTTGCTCAGAGAATTTTTTTGGTTTTGGATCCAAAAATACTTAACCACATCTCAAAGAAAGACTCCATGGTCTTTAAACCACTCCACGTGACAGTAACACGTGGTTCCAGCACTGGGCCTCAAACACAATCTCTGTTGGCTTCACCTGCAGTGGGTATTACATTTATCACACAATACAAACAATGACTTTCCATGCATATTTGCAAAATAAGGTGAATGACATAGATACCTGCAAACATTAGTGATGTCAGCACCAGAATAGCCTTCAATCTTCTCAGCAATTTCTTCAAGGCTGATATCAGGATCTAGTTCTACTTCCCGAAGATTAATCTTAAGTAGTTCTGCTCTGCCTTTTGCTATAACATAAAAAACACTTGTCTGAAGACTTGCAAGAGTAACATTAAAAAACATAGAAACACAACTAATATTTTGTCATAATAAGTACAATCAAAAGGATTTAGTATGAGAAAAGGAAAGAGACAGAACAAATCACAGTAAAGTGTGCAATCAAACAATGAAAAGTATATGGTTAAAAGCAGTATATTAAAGCAGCATGCTCTAGAGAGATATTGCTAAGTCATACATCATTAAAAATTTCTGTTATGTCTCAGGTGACGAAGCATTTGGTCACACACGACCCAAGGGCACAAAAGCACAATCCTACAAATGTCTGCTTCTTCTCACATCCCTTTGGATTCACTCACTGCTCAAGTGTTTGACTGCATATTGTTCACACAGTTTCATTAGAACCACAATGAGGATTCTATTAACAGAGCTTCAGACAGCACAAACCCCCTAACAATAGGCTGAACTTTAAACATATGTTTAAGCACTTTACCCAGTTGGGACCCAAGAAAGCTGCTGAAGCCTGACAGAAAACAGATATATTGCTACAGTAAACATATATTAATATATTTACAATACAAGTGTCCTGGTATCCCACTTTCAGACCTAGATGAAGTGTGCATGCACTGACAACCAGCTGGGTAAATGAGCACTTACGCAGCCAATTAACCATTTTTCTTGTAGAGGGCATGTGCATATGTGCATTTGGGTACAGATGTTAAGCAGCCTAGGCTTGTAAGAGGGAATCTGCATCTGACAGCTTAGGCCTCAGTGTTACTCTGCACAAGAGTGGTAAAGAAGAGAAAGAATGCTCTCCTGGCTTTTTCTGTACAGAAAAATATGCCAGCTCAGCACCTTTATTTCCAGTGACCAATTTTTATGACCCAGAAAAGATGACAGTCACAACAGAGGAAGTAGCAGTAGGAAAGGCTAGAAGTCTTAAGGAAATTTCCACGTTTTATTTATTGATGTCCCTAATTAATTTTTTATTTCTTTTAATTGGGGGGGGGGGATACAAAAGAAATTAGAAAGCTTGTCTAAAGCTGCTGGGTTTGCGTGCTTTGCAAAACTGTCAAGAATATAGTCATCAATCACACACAACTGGCACTAGCCATAAAATGGAGATTTGTCATTTACAGAGCACAGTGTACATATGGCACACCTGCAGAGAGCATCCTGTACCAAAGAACATTCTTCTAATCTTTGCTATGGGGCTAAGCAAGTCCTTGCAGTATTTTGAAAATGAAACACAGCAGAACATATACTTTCATCAAATTACACAATATACAGGTGTGTGTATATATATATATATATCGTATCATATCACTTTTCCAATTAAAATGCCTGACCACATCAGATCACACAGCACAGTTATAAATGCATCACATAGATTTGCCCAGAAAAGCTCAACATTCTTATTTACAGAATAGATGCAACAGAACATCAGACTGGAAATAAAACTGTAGCACATCTCGTATGTTGTCCAGCGTGTAATACAGTGTGTCAAAACCAATCTGGTTTAATTAGAAACAAGAGCAAGAGCCAATAGGATTTTAAACTAATTGGTCATAAAGACAGGCATCCTGTTAGGAGCTGTTACTGCCTGTAAGCTGCGAAGACAAGCTGTGGAACTATTAAGTGTCCTTATACCTGCTAAACTCAATCACAACCGCTGTCACCATGAACACGCATCTTGTTATCTTGAGTGCTCATGCAGGGAGATGAGGCATCCACTGTACCAAGAAACAGAGCTACGCAAACTTCAAGGGATAGGAATCTCAAAATTAATAGGACAGGTGAATGACAGCTAGGTAAGACAATACAAGCAAGGATGTCTTAAGGCAGGAAAGGCATCAGACTGCTGCATTCTGAGTGACTTGAAGCACAGTCATAAAGGCAAGCGAGCAGTGATTTACAGTGAACTATGCTTGTAAGTGAAAATTCATGGATCCACTTCTTTGCATTTGTCTGCAAGAGCATGGAGTGTATTTGCAGTATTTGTGAACATGTCCAAAGGCTGCCTTTGATGATCACTCAAGGACTGACTGCTAAACATTTAAAATAATTCCAGGCTCATTAAAACTAACTCTCTTTCAAAATGTAAGAGCCCATCAATGAATGGGCTTGCAATGAAATGCTGCAGCTCTTTGTTGTTAAGCCCCCGAGCAAGTAGTTGTTTGGTTTTTTCCTTTCTCTCACTCTCTTCAAAAATAAAGCAACCCGGCCAAATGATTAACCCCCAAATTTCACTGCTCATCACAAAACCATCAAGATTCCTCTCAACAGTCCTGCATTAACACTAAGCTTGTCTTGCAATGGTCATTTTAAAGGAAAATGCTGATAGCAAACATACCTGTGGGCAAAGGTATATAAATCCTCTTCTCCAGTCTTCGTCGGAGAGCTTCATCAATATCCCAGGGAAAATTTGTAGCAGCTAATACCATAACCATCTTGGAAGGGTCATCACTTTCCAGAGCACCACCTACCCCTGCAAGCACAATAGTTTAGAGTAATTTCACTACATAGGTCTTATTGAGATGCTTGCTAAGAAACACTGCAGACAAACATTACAAAAGCATGGTCAAAGCTAAGCAACAGCTCTATATAGTCCTAGTGCCCCTTTCCAAACTTCCCATAGCTTAGGTGTGACAAGGCCATCTGTCACAGAGAGGGGGACAGTTCATTCTTCTGCTGAGCCAGAGGAGGGCTTTCTGTGAAACTGCTAATGACACAGTCCCACTGAAAATGCTCTCTCTGTCAAACCCAGCCATAGAAGAAACAGGAATCACTCCCTGGCCTCCCAAATGATGACTGCAAAGTAGTTACCACTTTGAGGCAAAAAGCTGCCTACCCTGAGTTTACCACAATGAACCTGCACATTTGAGGACACCATAAATAGTAGTTAAATAACAGCTGCATTACAGAGGTGGTTATCAAATCACTACACCATACAATATTCCTCAGATGCTCATCCTCGTTATGTGCTCCTGCACAAACCAGGTACTAAATCTGACTAAATTAGCTGCCACCACAGAACAGAGCAAAATCAGATCTCACAATGGGGTCCCTGAGCTGGAGACTCTAGCAAAGGGGAGAAATTAAAGACCTGTATTAAACTGCACAAACCTCCATTATCTGCTTCTTGTAGAGTCTGTGTCTCCTGAATCTGAGTTTTAAATTTACCATCAAAATATCCATTTTAGAAAAAATAAAGCCAAACACCCTTTTCAGTTATCTGCCTTCGAACACTCCAAAAATGCACTACTCTCAAGCTCTGCCTTCTTTTTCCCCTATCCATAAAGCCAGGGTTTCCAAATTGCTCAAGTTCTTACATCCCCACCTGTAAAGAAACAGCACCCCAGCCCCAAACTTGGATCTAAACACTTGTTACCGTCCATTTGCACAAGCAGCTCAGACTTGACTCTGCGACTCGCCTCATGTTCATCGGATGTGCCTCTGCGGCTGCAGATGGAATCGATCTCATCAATGAAGATTGTTGTTGGAGCATAAAACCTCGCCTTTATTCAAATGGAAACATCACCATTAAGGCTGCAGCAGCAAGGACAGGCTCTCATCAGACCATAGCCCAGTTTCACTAGACATGCTATACACAGATTGTCCTTGCCTGTCACAAGAAAATAACTCAAGATTTTGATTTACAAAAACTGTCTGGCATATGCTGAAGTTTATACATTTTGAATTGTATTCCTTGAGTCAGGGGTCTTTCAGAGCTGGTTGGCTTTCCTTATCAACCAGTCTTGCAAAGGGGAAAGGGAACACAATCACAATGCAGGCAGTTTTCATGCCCAGGTTTTTGTGTTGGTGAGGGGTATGCATAGGGGACAGAAGGGACCTCAGCCTACCTCAACAAAGACAAGCTTTAACTGAGAGTATTGTAGAGGTGCAATGAACCCAAAGAGGTGAACGACTCTTCAGTATAGGTCCACATGGGCATGTCCTTCATATACCCTGCATGACAGACTGCACCCTCAACTTCACTGAGAGGCTTGTGCCCATCATTCAGAACAGAAAGAGACCTAAAACATGCATTGCTTGTAGAATAACAGTTCCAAATCCCTTCCAATTTCAAATCTATTTCCTATGGGCTTGTTGTCCCATAACCAAATAAGAACTGAATTTTTGTCAAGGTCACAACTCTCTGTTTAGGCTGGGAAACGTTAAACGTGGGTGATGAACCATTTCCTTCTTAGTCCTGAACAACATGAGAGAAACGGATGGAGACACGGATCATGTTTTTCTAACTGATTGAGGGAGTGTCAGTTCAATGAACTCTGTGCTTCCAGCATGCTACTGGAGGGGCAGGAAACCAAGAGAGATGTCCTTTCTCGCCTCAGTGATCCCCAGATCACATCATTGAAGACATACCATTTCAAACAAGAGGCGGACCAGCTTCTCAGACTCGCCCCTGTATTTAGATGTCAGGGTAGAGGAAGACACGTTGAAGAATGTTGTTCCGCATTCTGTAGCAACAGCTTTTGCTAGCATTGTTTTGCCAGTGCCAGGAGGACCAACCATCAGCACGCCCTGCAAGGTGAAAACAAAGGTAATGAACAACAAATAAAGAAACTTTGCAACTGGTACTCATACATCTCAGTATAATCCAAGATCTGGATTCAAACTGTTTAATAACATAACTGTCACCAGTGGAAAACAAAAGACAGGAATCCTACTTTCAAGAACAACGTGGAAGTGTTCTGCAACTTCTTTTTACCACTCTGCTGGAGCACAAAATCACAAAACCTGGTAACTGTTGCTGCACCTATCACCTGGGAAGTGGACAACAGATTTCCAGCCTTGCTCTGAATCAGAGACAGCCCAGACTTGAACTTAGGCCTTTCCCAACTCACGAGGGGCTACACAGGCAGATGAAGACAGTGAATTCTTCTTTGTGGAACAAAGGCCCCTTTGCAGAAACCAAAATACTTTTGCAGAAAGTTGTGTTCCCTCAGTAGAGCACTTTTCTGTAGGAAAACATTTTGCCAAAAAATCCTGAGGATCTGATTTTTACATTTAAGTATGCACGAGAGCATTCACTGAATACAATGGTTTGTCATACTGTTTAATCTCTCCATCTCAGTACTTCTACAGCCATAGTACTGCATCTTAGCAATTCCTGGCTGAAACACCATCCTCACCACACTGATGGGTGGCAGAAGAGCACTGCTATTTCTGTTTTACAGACAAGCAACTGTGGCTCATGTGGACTACCACTCAGGCCCACTAAAGCCTAATCTGAGCCTCAGTGATTATTCAGAAAGCTTTAAACTAGAAAACTGAACTACAGTTAAGCCCCAGGTTGGCATCTACACCATCAGACTGTCTTTCCACCTGTGGCCTATCTGAAAGACAGAGTAAGGAACGCAGATCCCTGCAGCTCAGCATGTTTACCCATCATTATGCAAGCAAGTTTTTAGGTAGACTCACAGTGCTCTCAGGACTCATATTAAGACTGTAGCACTGAGACTGGTTAATCGCTCGTGATAATATTTCTAAATACAGTTATCTTTATGGATAGTCTTCCCAACCCTTTCAGCAGCAGTGCTGCGGAGGGATGCCACTCTGTTCCATGCCTGCACAGCACTACAATAGGGCACTGTGATTTTAAGCATGGCATTATGAAAACGTAGTGCCCAAGCAGCCCGGAGTTCTTTTCCCCTCCCAACTGCAAGATCTTATTACATGCTAACACTTTCCTAAAGTAACGTTGTACTGTGTTGCAAGGGTAATCAAATTAGCTGGAATTAGAACTGCACATCATAATGTGCTTTTCAATTAATAACTTACATAAAATGCCGCAGCAATAAAATATCTGTTAAATGCAAGCCACATAGCAAATTAGATTTCATCTGTTCCTCACAAAAATTTACTTCAAAAAGCACAAAGAATGACATGGAAGAGATCTATAAAACCAAATCAACCGGGAAGACAATTATTCAAAAATGTACTATTCAAAAGCAATAGCCTCTCTGTACTCCATTTTCCATTAACTCTTAATACCTTTATTGCCATTTAACACTTAGCTAATGCAAGCTCAACGTACATTCATTGGTAAATTAAGCCAGAAGTGTTCACACACCATCCATACAGCTAACAGCCCAATGTCACTCCTCGGGCTGCCCAAGGCTTCCTAAGCTCCAGAGCAGCAAGCATAAAAATTAAATGGATTTTTTTTCTCCCCATGAACATTCAGACATATACTGTGCTTTCAGATGCTGCACAGTCATACTGATATTATAATAATATTGCAAGTACAACCCTGGAGTGGCTGGGTGAAAATTACTCAGCCTGTGATATGCAGGTCAGATGACTTACTGTTCTCTCTGCATTTCAAATGGTTTTATTTAGTATTTTGAAAACAAGCTGCACCTCAATTCAAATCACACTTGACCCCTGTGTTTGACAAACTGTGTTTTATGCAGCGCCTGGTGATACACGGGACTAACATAATTTTTTGAATATTGCTTTGGCCCTCCATTATTATGGAAGGTCAAATTCTGGCTGCAGTTACACATGCTGCTCAGTGCCCAAATCAAAGCCCATCGCTTTGCACCTCCTGCATTACTATTACAGGGAGCGTTACATTGCACGTGATACTGGTGGCATTACATATGCGCACAACACTAATGCAAAGCAGCCACACCAGGTGGAAAACCAGGGGAAAACCAAGCTCTCTGGGGATGAAGATGACAGCAATATCAGTTAAAAGAACTTGAGCTCTCAGCAAAACAAGATATGCATGGTTGCAAACAGAAACACATAGGATCAGGCTGCGCTCTCTCTCTCTCTCTGCGAACTAGGAGGCTGCCACTTACTCACTAGTTAAAATCCTTGACAAACACAAAGACTTCTTTATTCTTCCTCTAAGGCTGTTAATCCAAAGTATTTCAATAAGAAGCTGAAATGCACTGCAGGGAGCAAGTGTTTTGATGAAATCACTGCAGGGTTACTTCTTGTTGTTGTAACAATCACTAGCAGAGCAGTGGGAAGCACAGTGAGCAACTGGGCCTTCTTGGCACAAAACAGTTTGGATAAAAAGAAAGAGCAAGCCCGTGGACCCTCAGAAACCTATGGCTGCAGCTACACAGCACCTGCGTTGAATCAGGGAAGACAGCTGCCTCCTTCACACAAGGCACCGTCCTCTGAATGCAGGCACAAACTGTGAGGGCTGTCTTGGGAATTGTTCTCAGGAGAGTCTGGACATCCAAAACCAGATTTGGCTGCCTTTTCCCTGAATTATTGTCCTGAATGCCTAGGCTCAACAAATGCCTGCTGCTATACTGATTACTGCAAGAAACACTCTTCCCTTCAAAACTTCTCATCCTTGTAGCACAGTCAGAGGTCAACAGTAGGGAAAATACATGCTGTTCTGTGTGAAAAATAAATTCAGGAGAGTTACAGCTTCACAAGTCACCAGGGAAAAGGCTAACAATGAAGACTCTTCATGGACTCGTCAGAAATCAATTTGCATCGCAGACTGAAGAGAGGAAATAATCTTAAATTTTTTCCATGTCTACAACCACCTCGTTTTCAGAGGCGACACTGCTCAGTGGGAAAAGATAATCTCACACAAACAGATAGAGACTGTAACTCTTTAAAAGACCAGGCTGTCGTTTCTTTATCTGCTGCCACAACACTCAGAGACAAGGCCAGTGGCACTCTTCATGTTCCCTGCTGTCTGCTGAGATGCCTGCCTAAAAGACAGATGGCCACTACATCCTCTAGGCATGTTAACACATGAAAAAAGCATAGCAGCTCCTCACTCCCTTAAAAGTTTTTGAAGACTGGACAGACGGGGCCCCTGTATTTTATAAGGGTATAGAGATAACTTCTATGCCAGGAGGAAAAGAGAGATTCAGCTGTTCAAAAGACACCAAAATCTTACCCTACACTCATAACCCATGATATCTAGGCTCTGTCCAAGCCAATAGCTTGGTTAACCTTAAGATTAACCTTCAGGCCACTGGTACTGACCACTAAACCCCAAACGTAGCCTGGGGCTACATTTGGGCTGCCCCCTGCAACTCCCTAAAACTTCCATGAACAGCCCTCAAGCAGCCACCTCCCAGCTCCTGCTGTCAGCCTCCCCTTTTTCCAACTTCCCCTCTTTATTGTCCATAGACACCACAAGCCCCAAGAATGACAAGTCCTCCACTCATTAGCTCCTGCAGGGCTTTGTTTTGTAAATAAGCAGAATAATGGGGACCTGGGACTGGCTCAGGCTGGAGGAGGACAGCTTTGAGGGTCAGACCTAAGCATAAGTCAGATAACTACAAGGACCAAGCGAGAAAAGACGGGGCAAGTCTGCAAGTAATGCAAGGTCTGACATATGCTGCTGAAACTGCATACTAAACCACAGAAACTGCTCACTTACACAGCATTCCCTAAGCATGCCATTGCCTTGCAGACTCAATAACAGACAATTTACAGCAGTAATCCTCAGTAACAAGCAAGTCCTTGAGTTGTGACTAGTTATTCCCTAAACACGTGTAAATCCATCCCACAACAAAAGCAAGATAATTTTATCTTCTGTTCACAGAAATGCTCAACAACCTCCTCCCTTCTCTTCCATTTTAGCTCTAAGCAAGGCCTAGACTGGGCTCACCCCTGGTCCGTCAGCTAGGCCAGCTCACTCCTATACCTTTCCTGTTCCCCTTCCTGCAGCTCACTCTCGCGCTTGAATTTCTCCTACTCCAGCAGTAACTATGCCCAGCTGCAAGTGTAACTGCAAACCTAAATCATGTCTCACATTAGCCCCACCTCTCCTTCCTTCCTTGCACCATCCAGCCTGCAGTTTGCTGTCTGAGCTAGTTGGCACATGCAGAATAAAACAGTGCAAGGACTGCTTTCCTCTGTGAAGTGTTGAAGAGTGGCCACCATAATCCGCTGTCTGTTAATCACTCCTGCTTCTGTCAGGATACCCTGTATGTTTGCCCACATGTACAGGCTGGCATACAGAAAGTGTGATGATGTCAACAAGCTATGACTGCGTAAATACAAAAGAATTACTATTTAATGTGAAGCCTGCATACACTTCCAGCTGTTTCTTTCAGTGCATTTTACAGAATCATAGAATGCATAGGGTTAGAAAGGACCATGAATCATTGAGATGATTTCATGAAGAAATTCTTGATCTTTCCCATTTGCCTTTTCAGGCATCCACACATATTACAGCAGCACAACTACAGCTTGCCATTTACTAAAACACCAAATAAATTCCCACCTTCCAAGGTCTTCTGATCCCTTTGAAAAAATCAGGCATCCACATTGGAAGAACAACAGCTTCTCTTAATAATTTCTTGGCTTCTTCCAAATCTGCTATGTCGTCCCTGTGCAAGATGAAGAAACTTGTGTAAGATTCCTGTACAACACTATTTCTTCTATTTTTATACAAGAAAAACAGAACAGCCTTTCACTTCATACCATCTCTTTTAGCATGCCAGTATATGCCTCATGAGAGCACTCCTATAATCCGGTGACCTAAAATTGAATCCACTTTTGGAAGGTAAGGAAAAAATCATTTGCAACTCAAGTTACCCAGGGCTGCTTAATTAAAAATTGTTTTGAACAATGTGAACACCGAAGTGGTATCTTTAAAGTTCTCTGGAGTGTACTTTCATTTCAGTAGTACCTGTAATGGATGTACTGCACATTACATTAGTTAGCAACAAAAGCTTAACTGTCATCAAATTAATAAACTGTTAAAATCAAAAGACCTTGATTTGCCTATCTGTAGAAGATTATGATAGCTCCCTGTTTTAAGAGTTAGAAGAAGGATAATTTCTCTCCTTCACACTAACAAAACCATTTAAATTGAGAAAGTCCCTCATACCAATGAATGCTTGGATTCCTTGACACAATGTCCCTTTCAAGAGCTTCGACCAAGTCTTTGTCGTAACCCGCTCCATCAAATTTTGGAATTTCCCCATCACCAACTTC